TTTCGGTTTCGTGAACGGGGAACCAGTGGTTCTAAGATTGGGAAGCATTGGGGAACTAGCAGTTTCTTGAACGGGGAACCCGTGGTTCTAAGATTGGGACGCGTTGGTTCCAACGTTTGGGAACCAGCAGTTCCGCTGTTGTCGCAACAAATTCGCACGGCAAAAAATGCGTTTCTGAAACCTTTTCTATCTGGGGTCTATGCCGGTGTATTTTTTAATCGATGCAGAGTGCCCGTGAAGTGACGTCAACATGAGCGCCCCTCTGTATTTTCTCGGTACTGGATTTTCTTGGAGGTCCGAAAGAAATCGCTCGCATTCCTAGCCGTCCTGAGTTGTCCGAAGTTGAACATGTGGTTCATGTTGTTCTTGGATGTTTTTCCATAGGTTTAATCTTGGCTTAGTTTCGTGCCACAACTGAAGTGGAGGTTCCAACTACATTCTGCTTCCACGCTGTTGTGGATGCGCACAGGCACACACACAAACACACACACACAAACACACACATGCACGTACCTGCGCACCCCCACACAGACACACATACACATGGACGCAATCAAAGACAGAACGGGTCATTCATGTGGCTATCCAACCTTCCAACCAAACACATCAGCAGTCATACTCTGGAATGCTGTGAAGTGTTGAACAACTCGTAAAGCCCAAACTCCCAAGCAGACTCCATAAAGAGAGAGAGAGAGATATATATATGCATGTCTCTCTACCATGTTTTTGGGCTATCTCTGTAGGCGCTGTTTTGCAATTTTTGTCCCTATCTTTTGGGAATTTGTGTCCCTCTTTTTTGTTTTTTTCTCCATCTTTTTTGGGAAAATTTGCCCCTATCTTTTGGGATTTTTGTCCCTAACTTTTGGGAGTCTCTGATCCCACTTTTGATCTCACAATTCGCGTTTCTGAATCCTCTTTGTGACGATAAAGAAAACGTGGTAGAGCGCCATGCTAATATATACATATATATATATGTACGTCATGTCAAGATCTTCGGATAGTTTTTTTTTGGTTTGACCAGCAGCTGAGTATCAACATGCATGGTAGCTGAGGGCTGAATTCCCCTTCAAGTGCCACATGCTCGGAAAGGGCGCTATGCAGGACGGAGCCGACCATAGATTCCCGACCAGGGAGATCAGTTGCAAGATCAGAATGTATGAAGCCAGTCGCTCGCAGAAGAAGGTACTTTTAAGTGCCAGTAGTACCGCACAAGGCAGTGGCGGAAGCTTCAAAAATAGGAAACCTACAGGAGAGGTTGGTTGTTGTGAACCACGGATGGCAGAGCGAATCCACTGATGGACCGAAGGGTGGTTGAAGTTGTGTTTTTTGGAATGGTTGCAATGGTTGCAGTGGTCACCTCACCCACAACTGCTGGATGAAGTGTGGTGTAGTGCAATTGTTGTAGTTGTAGTGTGGTGTAGTGGAGTTGTAGTTGTAATGTGTAATATGTGTGGTGTAGTTGGAGTTGCAGTTGTAGTTGTAGTTGTGGTATGGTGTAATTAGTGTAGTGTATTGTAGTGTACTGCATTGTAGTGTACTGTAGTGTTGTGTACTGTAGTGTGGTATAGTGTAGTGTAGTCTAGTGTAGTGTAAGGTAGTGTAGTTGTAGTTGTTGTGTGGTGTAGTGCAATTGGTGTAGTGTCGTGTAGTGCAATTTTGTGGTAGTTACGCTTGTAGTTGCAGTTGTAGTTGTAGCGTAATGTAGTGTAATTAGTGTAGTGTAGTGTTGTGTTGTGCAATGTAGTGTAGTTGTATTTGCATTTGTATTTGCAGTTGTAGCGTGCTGCAATGTAATTAGTGCAGTGTAGTGCAATGTGGTGTAGTTGATATTGTTGTTGTAGCTGTGGCAGTAGTAGATTGGTGTAGTTGTAGTGTAATTAGTGTAGTGTAGTGTAATTAGATGTAATTAGTGCAGTGTAGTGTAGTATAGTGTAATTAGTGTCGTGTGACGTAGCGTAGCTTAATTGTATTTGCAGCTGTTGTAGTCGTAGCCGTAGCCGTAGCCGTAGCCGTAGCCGTAGCCGTCGTAGTAGTAGTAGTAGTAGTAGTAGTCGTAGTAGTAGTAGTAGTTGTTGTTGTAGTAGTAGTAGTAGTAGTAGTAGTCGTAGTAGTAGTCGTAGTAGTAGTAGTAGTAGTAGTAGTAGTTACAGTAGTAGTTGCAGTAGCAGTTGCAGTAGCAGTAGCAGTAGCAGTAGCAGTAGCAGTAGGAGTAGTAGTAGTAGCAGTAGTAGTAGTAGTAGTCGTAGTAGTAGGAGTAGCAGTAGTCGTAGTCGTAGTCGTCGTCGTCGTCGTCGTAGTAGTAGTAGTAGTCGTCGTCGTCGTCGTCGTCGTCGTAGTCGTAGTCGTAGTCGTAGTCGTAGTCGTAGTCGTAGTAGTCGTGTAGTCGTGTAGTCGTGTAGTCGTATAGTCGTATAGTCGAATAGTCGTATAGTCGTATAGTCGTAGTCGTAGTCGTCGTAGCCGTAGCCGTAGCCGTAGCCGTAGTAGTAGTAGTAGTAGT